GTACTTTATAGATTTTTTTTCTTCTATAGCAAGATGAAAATATACTGCCTGAGTCCCCAAGAGTCCTACCAGGGCATCATTTGCAGAGCCATTAGTCATCTGGCATAGTTTTCTTGTGGCTTAGAACAAACCAGGGATATGGTACTGGGGAGTCAAGTAAGCCATAAATGAATGTGTAAAGAGTGGATGAAGTCCTGAACAAATTTGTATTGTTTGACACAGGCATAGTCATGTTGAGAACCAAAGTGTCAGACCTTGGAAATTGGCATACTGGGGTCCAAAAACAAGTGTGTATGAATGATTTTCCAGTGTGTATAAATACAAGTGTTTATGATTGACCAATGTAAAAGGGTGCATATTTTTCCCCCCAGCCCCAAGCTCCTAAAATAATGACTAATGAGACTCAAAATATATTTACAAATACCTGAGCCATAAAGCTAGCCTCTTTTCTGACTAATTCATAATTTATATCCCTTGTATTCTTTTCTAAGTTTTGCTGTCTGACTGGCTACCTCTGCTCAGGTACCATTCATCTGTCTTCCTCATATTTTTCCAAGTAAATCTCCCCTCCTGGATCTATCCCAGAATCTTTTCTGCCTGCTGGATGTCTCACCTTCTATTCTACCTTCTGCTATAGGCCATAATGTACATATTGTACATAATGTATATATTCTCTCTATAGACCAATGTGTGCCAAAACTAGCAACTGCAATTTCCTCTTGCTGCGTGTCTACATCCTAAGGCTGCTGCCTACAGAGAGCCCATGCCAAAACTTACTAAAATCCCCCACCCCCATGCTATAGAAAATGACCATGCTGAGCTTGGCAGTGTTGTAGTAGTTAGTACCATTCCATGATAACGAACACATCACCTGACCCCAGCTTTTCTATGTCCCTATGTCAGTCATTTCTTTAGTGTCTGTCTGTCCTCTGATCCCCTCATTACTCCTAGACAAATCAAGACAGCAAGCCATGTAGTCACCATATGGTACAGATGATGGAAATCTGTAGGCTCAGGTTTTTCACCAAACCTAGTTTACTTGGGGTTCTTAAATGCTTCTACCTCCCTACCACCAACTGAACAGATATGGGAGAGAAAGAAGGTTAGTAGGTAAAGGGGGTTGTAGACATTTTTAGAAGTAGTTCTTTGGGATGAGTTCACTCTTTATTGTCCGGATACCAGCATTCCAGTCCAAAGGCCAACACCAAGCAGCAACATGAATCAGCACGATTCAGAAGATCAGGACAAGTCAGCAAAAGCCACAAGGCTCAGTTGGACTGCCCAGAGAAGTTCTCTGGAACACTCCTCTCTGTGAATCAAGTGTCTAAGCATGAAGATCAGTGCAGCAATGTTGATTCAAAAAGCAATGTCTCACTGTGTGGTCTTCTATATATCGCCTCTCCTCAGAGTCCACCTACTCTTGTTCTCAGGTAGCCAAAGTCCAGCCCTCTTATCTATAAAAAGGATGCACACATACCTGCCTCATAGAGTTGAGTAAGATACTAGAGGCAAAATATAAACATACACAAATACTTTTTAAACAGCCCTCTTCTGTCGTCTTTCCCACCAGACCCGAAACATTTGGAAGTATTAGACGAGAACAAGAAAGAAAAGGTGTTCTTCTTCAGCAATACCCTATTTTATGGAAAAATTCCTTCCTCAAATGTTAATTCTTGCCCATATCATAGTGTTGTTAAATACATTCTTGGAAGACTTAACATTGTTTATAGATGTTTTACTTTGAAAATATAAACAAATTAGATAAATTGTCATTTCTCAATCATGATGGAGATAACACTTTTGTGAAATTTAGAACTTCCTGGTTTCAATTTCTCTACATAAGTCACTAGACCATATTTTTGCAATTTTGAAAAAGAAGTACTTTGTATAGAGGGAAATTAATTATTCTTTCTCAGTTTCAGCAGGAAGAACATTTATTACATGTTCAACAAAGTTGTATTCACTGTATCCAAATGAGAAATAGTTGAGGGACTTCATTATATTTGGAGAATATTTCCATCAATCAGATTTAGCAGTAACCAAAAAGAATTCCACAATTAATCTTTTATATAATGGGTGTGACTTATAATCTCTACACTAAAAATATTAAATATGAGAAAAGACTGCTCATAAGCTTTAATGTTCATTGGCAAAGAAAAGCTGCTTTGTGTTTTTGAAAATATGAAAAATTTAAATGAAACCTACATGCTTGAAATTAGTGCCAGATGCAATACAATTCCAGCACAATTCACTAGCTGCATGGGATATTTCATTATGATTTACTAAAAAGTATTCAACAATTCTGTTTCACTGAAATCTAAAAAATACAAGTATTTCATTCACAAAACACATGACTTGGCATGTTTCCAGAGTAGGAATTTTCGGGAGAAAAGACACATTTATTGATTAAAATAAATCAAATAAGTGACATTTTCCTTAGAAAACTTGCAAAACATACGTTGTAGAAGTTGACAGTCTCAAAGCTTGAGCCAGAACAACCCCCGAGATATTACTTATATTTATCATCAGTCTTCATTCATGTCATAAGCAGATATTTAAGAATTTTCATATTAACATTTGGAAATATACATGTAATTATATACATATATAAATGTATATATGCTAGTGATTATAAATTTTTGGCCTTTTATTCCATTTCTATCCAATGCATAGTAGTATGCAGTAAATAATGAGCATTTGTGAATGGAATATGTGCTGAATTAATTCGTATACTAAAAATGCTGACATTATTTCTTTCTATCTCATGCTACAGCTTTTTGCCTGTCCTCTCACTATTTTGGTCACACTTCTGCCTTCAGCAATAGATGATTCTGTGCTTTCCCCAAATTCATGTAGAAGTCTTAATCCACAACACAGATATATCTGGAGATAGGCCCTCTGAGGAAGCAAGTTAAGTAAAATAAAATCAAAAGTCCCTGACTTGCTATCATTAAGTTTCCTTATCAGAACTCCAGAGAGCTCTCCTAAACTGTTCCAAACAGGTCATGTGAGCACACAGAGATAGTAGATGTCTACAAGCCACAAGAAAAGACCATGCTAGCAGAGTTCACAGTATCCAGAGATGGAGAAATGCATTGATCACTTATGCTACCCAGTCTGTGGTATTTTGTTATGGCAACTCACAGCAGACTAACACAGCAGTTAAGCTGCTCAATGCTGACAATTACAAAACCATTGCCATACAGTTCCTTAGCATTTGAAGGGTTTGAGTGGAATAAAATCCCATTTAAAAGCTGGACAGGCTTTCTTTGGGGAGTTTCATAGAATTCATGAATCCTTGAATTATTCATCTTTGCATTTCTCTAGAATCAGGGAAAACTTGAAAGGGAACATCAACCATACAAACATCAAATTAGGATTCTAGAAAACTATATTGAAAACTTGGCCTATCTTCAAGAAGATGTTGGAGGTCATAAGGGTGAAATGGGTGTTTAAATAGTAAAATTAAATATTTAATAATGCTAAATCCATTTATGTTATTGAATTCAAGCAAAAATTTTGTATGTCAGAATATTTTTCAAAGGCTCTTGTTGATAGTGTTAATAAGTGAAAATTACTGTGGGTTAGGCAATGTGGCCTACAACTAACTTCTTGCTTCGAATAAATAACTTGAGCTGCAGCCCAACTTCAGAGTGTGTTGATATTCTTATAACATGTTGCTGAGTTTCAGTAAACCATAGAGATTGACTCTTAGCCAGTCAGTGTGAAAGCTGATCCGTCCATGTCTATATATGGTAAATGCCCAGATACGGCAGCCGTACTAGAATATCCGTTTCTCCCCCCCCCCCCCTTTTTTTTTTTTCTGCAGAGGTTGCTTGCTCATTGGTGAAACAATCTGAACTTTGACTGGATCAGAACAATCCTCCATTCATGAAACAGCTGCTTGTTCAAATAAATTCTGCAAAGTTTAATTTGTCGTGCTTTTCTTTTTAACTTGTTAAAGGCTTTGTATTTCACGTGCACATGCGTAGAGTTCAGGAGACAACTCCCAAGTGTGGTTCCTTGGGGGGCTGTCCGCCAGTCTTTTGTGCCCACTTGCCTGGAACGTGTTGATCAAGGAGCTCCGAGTCTGCCTTCCGCCTCCTCAGTGCTGAATCACACGCATGGAACCAACTCATGTCCTCCAGCTTGCTAGGCAAGGCTTTCCACTGACTGAGCTGTCTCCCTAGCCCTATTTCCTTACATAACCATTACAAGAGAATAGGAACAAATTCTAATCTTATTATAGAACAGCACTTCAGAAAGTGGAGGCTCTTCTGAGTTAGCCCTTTTCTCATCCCCCAAGTCACTGTCTGCTTTTATAGTCTTCTCACTGTGATCCCTCCTGCTCTTTTCCTCATTCACAGGCCTCCGGGGTTCTCATCAGGCTCTACACACTGTGCTAGCCCGACAAACGAACTTGTGACTGGGAGTGCTTAGCTGGATTCGGAGATGATGGCAAGTGCCTGGAGAACAGGAATCGGATTGAGAACTGCATAAGGTCTGAGGCACTCAAATATACTCACAAAGAAAGAAAAAGAGGTGGGCGAGGGGTTTGTGTGTGTGTGTGTCGGGGGGGGGGGGGGGGGGGGGGGGGGGGGGCACGAGGAAGGAAAACAATTCCCGAAAAGATCACCCACAACTCTCCTTTGAGCGAACTCAGATGAGCGTCGAAGTCAGCACTTTCCTCCGCCAGGAGCAAGGTCAGGCAAGGAGTGAGGAAAGAACAAAGGCTTTGTAAAAATTTTTTAATCCCTGGGTCAAAAGAGAAAGACAGTGAGAAAAGGGAAGGGAACAACAAAAAACCCCAAACAAAACAAAAACCCAGTCTTAAGGCGCAGACGGAAGCGTGCAAGGAAGCCAGGCTGTTGCCTTGGCGACCCCAGAGCTAGCACGGTCGCAGTCTATTGGCTGAGCCGCTGCAGCCAATGAGAAGGCACGATGTTGGCAGGGTGCTAAGATGGCCGCCGCGCCGCTGCTTCCTGCTGGGTAAGTTCGGCCTCGCGCCGCGCGCCGCAGCGGCAAGCTTCGTGGCGAGCCTGTCGGGTTCGGGTTCCGAGGCAGTGAGGGCAGCGGAGGAGGCTGGGCGGCCGGTCCTCACGGCTCCTCCGTGGGGACGCCGGGGCGGGCTGGGAAAGCGCTGCGCGCGGGCGGCCTGGCTCGGCGGCGCGGGGCCGTCGCGGGGGAGCGAGAGGAGGTCAGCGTCCCGTGCCTGGCCGAGGGAGGAGGGCGCGGGCAGCCTCGAGCGCAGAGGCAGCCTCACGGGCGCGCCGGCTGCGTCCGGGAAAGCCACCCGGCTGATGAGGGCGAGCTGGGCCGTCGCCGTCGCGTCGGGCGTCCGGGAGGGGATGCGGCCGCGGCCGGAGAGCTGAAGGTGGCGCGGGCCCGCACCCCGCGGGAGCTGTCCGGCTGAGCGGGGAAAGGTGCCTCTTCAGAGCCTCCCTCTCGCAGTCTTGAACTTCGTAAGTATTTGCACAGTGGCGTGATTGCATAGCGTGTAAATCTTTCCGTACCGGTAGACAGGGTCTGGGGAGGCGGGGAGTGGTTTCCAGGCCTTGGCTGTAAACAAACGTTGTCTTAATTCAAACTCACCCACTCTTGCAAATGAAGAAAAAAAATTTTGCTAAGTAAGTAGTTTATTTCAAGTAAATCCGAACTCGGGTCTTGTGTTTTCTGTGCATTTTAGAGGAAAAAGGAACACATTATCTAACAATAAATAAGACATTTAGGTGAATGTTGATATCTCAAGACTAAAAGTACGTTAATTAACTCATTCCAAGGTTTAGGAACTAATTAAGTACTTTATTATGCTTTTATAGGTTAGAGGATGGCGATTATAGCTACTTTACAAATAAGATTAAATTTAGATGTCTGCAGTTTTAAAAATTGAATAAAAATAACGTGACAAAGACAGTAACTTAAATGCAGTTTAAATTATGGCGTAGAGACAGGAAAAGCTTATCCATTTAGATGCGCTGATTTTTATCCTTTGAGTATTGCTTGTAGGCAGTTGCATGGTTACATTTCTCAGATCTCTAATGTGACTCTCAGTATGTTCCTTAGTGTAATATCTTACGGGTTTTTCATATGCAAAAAGCGCAGAAAAATTATTAGTAAAATTTTGCAATCCTATAATTACAGCGGAGAATCATTGTGTTGGCCCCTCTCTCTAATCTTTTGTCTCCAAGAATGCATCACCAACTTTGCCCTCTAAAAGTTTACAATTTAAAGCCAGCAGGCCCCGCTTTTGTAAAATAAGTGCATCACAATGATTTAGGCAAGTTGTAAAAAGGGTTGATGTTAATTTCTAGTTAGTGTTGTGATGAGGGTTAATGCCTGCTTCTTGGTTGTGTGCCATGCACAACATGACCTGCTTTGTTTATCTGCTGCTGCTTTTGTGTCTTTTGTTGAATTTCCTGCCCTTTTTCAGTAGGCTGAAGAGCCTGCAAAAACTGGTCATCTTGTGAGGTAGAGGAGAGAAACTGCATTTACTTGGCTTTAAACAAGACTTTGTGGTTGAGAGAGAATAGAACATTAACCACCAAAGGGTGAGGCCGCTCTGGCCATTTGGGATACTGACACTATGAAGAGCATTAAATGTTAAAGGCATGAGGCATCTGAGTGGTAACTGATCATATCTTCATTTTAAAGCTCAGCAGGAATGGAGACCCAGGCACATATAATGGCCAGCTATGGGTTGGAATTCAGATCTGAGTTTCAAGACTGATTTGTCCCTATAACTAGTGGTCTCCATACAAACTAGAGCTTTTGTTATTGAGACTTGGTATCTCTGTATGGTTTCTGTATTTTGAGAGCTGATATTTACTAAACCTTTTTATTTTCTTTTAAATGTGGTGTACCAGCTTCTCTGGTAACAGGTGAAGATACTGCCACCCTGAATGTAGGTTTTCTCACCTGAAGGTAGATGATACTGTGCTGTGAGGGGGGAAATGATTACCTTAAAAAAATGCTGGTTATTAGCTTCATGAACTTCCAGTGCTTCATTATGAAACTTTGTAAAAAACAGAGCCTTAGATTACTTGGTGCTGAACCTCTTTGTTTTAAATGCATCTCTTTTCTGCCAAAGTGTGCTCAGTAAGAAAACCTCTTTATTTGGACTTAGAACAGTGCATAAATACGTTCAGTTGATAGCAGATGGTGTCTTCCCAGAACTGCTGAGTGTCCCACGTTGTACACAGCGTAGTGTGGTTTCGAGCTAGTCGCAGGTACAGTGCTGGAGTGTGTGCAATGGAGAAGGCGTTTGTTAGGCTCTAGAGAAAAGGGGCTGTGGCTCAGTTCATCCTCCTCGAGGGTGCCATAATTAAGTTGTTGCTGGGGCACAGGCTAAAAACGGAAAGCCCAAAGATCAAATTCATTGCCTGTGCTATGGGCCTGGCTATAATCTGCATACATGAATTGAGTTTCTGTTTGTATGGTATTCCAGTGAATTTTCTTAGAGACTAATTTAGGATTTTCTGCCTTAAAATAAAGACATATACTTGATAGGAGTGAAAGAAACACTTAAAAAAATCACCCTTCAGAGAAGCCCAGACAGGAGTAGCAGGAGGTCAGACATGGTGCCAATTGGAAAACACTTGAATGACACATATATGCTAGGAATAGAAAGACAGTATCTTCAAATAGGAACTGAAATTACTAAGCAGCCTCTGTAGATTGGCTAGTTTACAGTTGAGCTGCCTCTTAGCTGGACAGCTCCATTTTGCAGGCTCATTACCAGCAGTTTATCAGCAGAAACCTTAATCTCCCTTATATCTGTTTTTATGTTTTCTTTTTGTTTTGTGCTACCTCCCCCCCCCCACCACTATCACAGGAAACTGACTTGTGATTGAGTTAAAAAAATACCTTACTTGAATTTTGTAGTATGGATTTGGAGGTTCTTTTAACTTTTCTTCTTCAGGTACATTTAAGAAACTGTCAAGCCAGGAAAATACCGTATTAAGGACAGTTTTAGATGCCATTATCAGCAGTAAATAGAAGTAATTTTGAGAAACTTCAAAAAGCCATGAAAACTGGATAGCTGCCTGAAAACTGATGAGGAAAAACATACCTTTTGTAGGGTAACTGAGACTGTTCTCTATGGGAAGCACATCTGAGTGCCTAGAATGTCGATTGTAAAACTCCAGACATATGAAAGCAGGTCTGCTTATGGTAGCACATGCTATGTAAGGTCCAGACTGACTGACGTTTCCTTGCCGTGGTCTAAACATTGTTCATTGGTTTTGGTTCTCTCCTGTTTTGTGCACTTCTGGTTCCAAGCTTTTGGAGAGATTCTAGCATGCAGTGAAAATTGCCATGGCAGTACTTTCTGTAATAGGCTCCAAGCATGCTTTTAAAATGTCTGTTACAGCTTAAAAATCCTCAAGTGGATAATGAACCTAAAGATGTTTTGGATGTTCTTACTACTCTTTTCCTTGTATATTTTACAGAACATCTCAAGAGTTTCTTATTCCAGCTTTTAAAATCTACAGACCAAGTTTAGGGGTTGAGGTGGGTTTTATAAGGCCAAAAACATAATTTGGGGTCTCTATTTTGTTGACCATAAATTCTGAGTAGAAAATTAGACACCAATATTAGAGAAGACCTTTTAAATAAGGAACATTACTTTTGAGTTCCGTTAATTGGTAATCTATAAATAAACCAGGTTTATTTATGGAAGCTTCATGTCAGACTGTGGAGATAGGGAGGGACGTGATTAGTATCAGTTGATGATGAACCATCACAAATACTAAGAATTTCAAAGCTATCTTATTGGTCCTTCTCTTTATATTAGGAGTGATAAAAATGCATTTCATGGCCACAGAAATAATAGCAAGAACCAGTGAACTTTTGTTTTCTGATGCACAGTTCAAAATTTATTAAAAAAAAAAAAATCAACACCAAACAATTGAGCTTCTAGAAACCCTTGAATGCTGTTGGTTGCTGTATCTCATTTAATCCTCACACTATGCAGTGTAATTATCCTGTGCTGCAGATAAAGAAACCAAGGGTCAAGATTGTTGCAAAATTTTCTTTGCCTCTGGTGCAGCTGTAGTCAGGAGTCTAGTTGAGTCCTCTTAAAAAGCCAAGGGACTGTTTCAGAACTAAAACACAAAAATAAGCACTGCTTATTTTTATTTGAGAGGAAGGCCTTAAAAGGAAGCAGAAATCTATAATGCAGAGTAATACAGAGATCCCTGATTCCTGTGACCTGAAGAGAATGCAGACTCAGCAAGGTGGCATTCTGCTCTATGTTCTTCTGACTGATGATGGACCTTAAGAGATGAACTGTTCTGGGCTCAGCTGTGTGAAAGAACAGGCTGCCCAATGGAGAGCAATGAAACTTTCATAATCCTTGTTCATGATTACACTAGTGCTAAAAGCCATTCGTTTTCATGGATCTTTATGATGATACCGATAATGCCAAATACTGTGCTGAGCTGCTTGTTTCCCAGATACACAGTACTGGTACTGAGGAAGGCTGTGTGCTTGTCAAATTTTAGATTTCCATTTCATTTGGTTTATTTTAGCAAATTGTAAAATTTAAAACTAGTGTTTCTTTTCTGCCCCACACTTTATTTATTACTTTTTTTTTTTTTTTACTTTCACATGTGGGTGTGTGTGCCATACACACAGGTGGAGGTCAGAGGGTATCTTGCAGGAATTGTTTTGTACCTACCATGTGTGAATGGGAGTCAGGACATCAGCTTTGGTGGCAAGGGCTTTTACTTGCGGAGCCATCTTCCTGGCACATGCTACTGTATCCTTTAAAAGGATGTAAAAAGGTGTTTTCTTTAACTGTTTTCCTGCTTCTTTAGCAATAAGCCTTTTGAAAGTTACATGTGCTTCGGTGCAGATGTCATGCCCACCTTTGTCTTCTTTAAAGGGTACAACATGAATTGTGTTATTTTAAGCCTTCAGCTGGCAGTACTTAGGAGGCAGAAGTAGGAGGATATTCAGGAATTCAGGGCCAGCCTGGCCTCCAGAGTACAGCCCTGACTTAGTAAAAGAACAAAACAAAATAACATTTAAACAATACATTCAGTTTTGAATTCTTACAGAGTATATTTTTAAGTATTTCACTTTCTTTAGCCATGAGTGCTCTACTGAGTTTCATTTAGGCAGAATAATCCACACTGTAGAGAATCAAGATTCTGTTTTATCTGTAAGGATAGGTTGTAACATATTTAACTACTTTTAAACTTGTATTTTTTTTTTTTTCAGCTTAACACAACTGATTTTAGCTATTTTATATGGGTGGTTCATCCTGTTTTAGGTTTTAAAGTTGAAATTGGCTGTTCCTAGATCATTGGTAGACATTGGTCTTCTGTATCTGTTAGTGATTTTAAAATAGTTTCCATGGCTCCTATTTGAGTTTGAATTCATCTTTCCCTTTCTCCTTCTAGAAGAAAAGATGTGGAGTGGGCTGTTACCTCCTGGGCTAAATGAAAGTGATGTTGAATCAAATTCTGAAGATGAAGCCATACTAGAGAACCCAGAACTTTCAGAACTTAACTTACAGGAAGATGGAAAGACTGACAGCAGTAGGAAGCCAAAAATGTCAGACTTCCCAGCATGCAAGCCAAAAGCTGAAACAGAGACTGACACAAATGCATATGACAAATGTCCTTCTGGAATTCCCCTAAACATGTGGAATGTAGGTTTCCTGTGTGTTGTTAGGAAAGTATGTGGAATGTAGGTTTCCTGTGTGTTGTTAGGAAAGTATGCATGCGAGCCTCTGTGTTGTGCAGAGTATGTAGGAATACAGCAGACAAAGAGCCCCCAGAACACTTCCAGTGCTCTTTGGGTCACCTGAATACTTTGATTCTAGTTGTATTTTATATAAGTAGAAGAAGTGAAGCCTCCATAGGATCAGCTACTTTACCTAACATGACAAATGAGTTAATTTCTTTATTTCTTCCTTTAATTATATGAGTCAATGAGCTTCATTCTCTATTATCAAACAGCTTATATCAAAACTAATGACTATCCCAGTTCAACTGAGAATTGTGAGGATTGGAGTATCTCAGAGCAGTATTCCTTAGTTGGTGTCTTTACAAATGGCAGAACATAAAGATTTTTTTAACACATCTGTTCATTTTTAAAATGTATGTTTATCTTCAGCACACACACATACTTTTTTGTTCTTTTTACATAGAAATTTCAAGAATTGCATAAAAAAAATTCTGAACAGAAAAATTCAACATCAAGATTCAGACAGAAAAAAAGAAAACGCTCCAAAAAAGGTGTTTATTTTTAAATTTAGGTTGTTAGTTGTGCTAACTCTTAAGTTGACTGAGTTAATTTTTTAAAACATGATTTTAAAATAACAGCTGTATAATTAAGTATTTGTACTCTAAATTCCTTTTAGGCAAATTGAAGAATGAAAAGGAATCTCAGAGGTAGGTAGAACTTAAAATGGTAACTATTCAGCTGTGTTGTAGAACTTTCTAGATTGCTGCAGTACTTATCTTTGGTGATGATCAGACATGACAAGTGATCATTGAGGTATAATTATTGCAACCATTTAAAAATAGTCAAGGTAAAAATAGGCATAATTTGTGTACACAGACTTAATTTATCTTCTTGCAGTGAGCAGTCCTCAAGTGAAACCCAGTGGAAGGAGCTTACTCAATATTTTGGAGCCAATGATAGATTTGAACCCCCGGTTAAACAGAAAAAAGTTGAGAAGGTAAGAACCTTCTTACAATATTTATTATATTATTCCATCTTAGCTAACTGGACATATTTTTGATTAGGTTTGCCCAAGATGCTAGTTCATTAATTCATATAGAAAGCAACTTAAAACAACCTATTGTGTACCAAAAAGGTACACAAGTACTTACGTGTTTATTTAGAAGAATAAGTTGTGAAAGTATTATCATGAGAGCCTCTTTTTGCCTTGGGTGGTGAAAGAAAGCCATTCTTGTAAGAGGCCATCTCACTGAGACTTGAAGAGTGGTGACGGGCCTTTTATATAAGTAATGGTTGTTCAGAGGCTACTGAAACATAGGTGAAAACACTACAGGAAGGGTTAATGTGAAACCTTTTTGTTGTTTAGTAAGAAGGTTAGGTTGGCTAGAATGGAGTCAGTTAGGAGGAGGGGGTAGCTCAAGACTCAAGATACTCTTGTATAACTGCCAAAAATGGATGTGACCTCAGAGACTTAGGAAATGGTCTGTATTTACAGTGTGCTTGACATTTAAGAGAGTGACATGATCTAACATATGTTTTAAAGATTCCCTGACTTTTAGGTGGAGAATAGATAGATGATGATGTGAAAGTCAGTGAGAACATAGCAGACCATGATAATGGTGTGTTGAATGAGAATGGTGTTGAAGATGGAGAAGAGTGTGGATGCTTTGAGGTTTTAATGTGAAAGTAGAATTGAAAGCATTTATCTTTGAATTGTTTGTCAGGTTTTTCCTCAAGTGATGACGTGTCCAATAATGCTAGTTAGAAACTTGAGTAAAGTTAGGAGGAGAAAAGATTTAGCGTAGAATCTATTCAGAATTCACTTTTATGCAGGAGTGTTCACGAGAACACAAGAACAGTGAATAATTGCAGTAATGAGGTGGGGAGCTAAGAAAAGGGTCTGAGCTTGAGGTGTGTAATTGTAGTTTTTAATCTCTAGAGAGTGTGGCTCTCCCACATTTCTAGGGTCATTAGCCACTGGTCCCTAGGAACAAGGGAGCAGAAGTGATGATCTAGGGCTTTGGTGGTCCATGAGCATGAATGGAAATGACCTTCTGGGATCAGCTGTGGGAAGGCAGATCAGTTTTACTCTGGGTCAACAGGGTTATATAGAACTTTGGGGAGGGAGTGGGGAAACCCAGGGTGGGTGAAGGTGATTGGCTTGCCGGCTAAGGCACCAAATGCCTCATTAACATGGAGAGGCATTCCAGGAATCCCAGGTGTTTGCTGAACAGGTTCTATCCAGAGAAAGGCAGCTGGGCCTGTAATTTTCCTAAGGGTGATGTGACTTTCTTCAGGTAGAGGGTGTGGGGTCCAGGATCCCCTGTGGCAGAGAAGAGGAAGCCTTACTCTTCATTCGTTTTGCACCGAGCTCAGGGTTTTCTGGTAATGGCAGACTGTGACCTCAGCAGCAGGGTTTCTTATGTGTTTGGAGTTTTATTCTGTTTGAGATAAGGTCTTGTTATATTGCCCAGGCTAGTATTGAAGTCTGATCTTTATTGGGTGGTTGTCCTAATTCAACCTATGAGTAACTAAGATTACAGTCAAAGCATACTTAATGTGGCTTTTCTCCTCCAGTTTTGCAAGAAATTCGTAATTCCAAAATACTCCCTATAATACTAATAGCTAGGTACTTGGCACTGAGTTCATTTTCTAAAGCTCCTACTGCTGAGCAATAACCGTTAAGCAGATACAGAAATAATACATTTTCTACAAAGACTATTGCAAGTACAATCTGAGTCTTAAGACACTATGCTGAAGTTCCCTGGGCTCACTGTGGAAGGGTAATGCATTTCTGAACATGTTTTTGTCATGCTACTGACCCTTGTGATTTATGTGTGCTGGGAGAAGGTCATGTGACTTTAACTTAAGCTGTTCCTGACTGCCAAATCTGTCCTGAAGCAGGGAGAAGACCTTGTTGACTGCTCTGGGCCATGGGAGTCCCAGCCACTGACTAGATTCGTGGTTCTCAACCTGTGGGTCGAAACCCCCTTTAGGGTCAAATGACCCTTTCAAAACGGGTCACCTAAGACCATCAGAAAAAACAGCTATTTATATTGCAATTCATAACAGGAACAAAATTACAGTAATTGTTATACTCAGTTCGCGAGCCCCCAAAAGATCTACAGGAATTGACTCCGTTGCAAAACACATGAGGGTCTTTTTATTGTAAATTACAAGCTGCAGCTTGGGCCAACACAGCCCCACCTGCGCGCCATCCCCAGGGTAGTTGGGTGATTTATAGACTCTGGTCCCTCCCAGCATGCCCAAGGCAGGGGCAATTCCTGCCTGGCAAGCATCTATTGGTCAAGATGCTACATTTTGAATCGATTTGCTATAGGAAGGTTCCCAGACCATTGACCATGACCAGGTGTCCCTCCCTAGGGGGAGGGTCCAGTTTCCTAGCAACCGTATCTCTAGTGGGTGGGGAAAGAATGCAGTGAGGTAGCTCTCCCCTCAGGGCATTACTAAACTAACTTCTTTACCGCACCTACTTTAGGTCTTAATAATAGCTGCTACTTTATCTGTTGGTCTCTCATAATGAAGTAGCAACACAAATAATGTGGTTGGGGTCACTACCACATGAGGAACTATATTAAAGGGTCACAGCATTAGGAAGATTGGGACCACTGGACTAGATCCTTCAGAGTGTGAATGACCAAGTATTTGTTCAACTTTTTTTTTAAATGTGTGACTTAAATGACCTTTGATTTTCAGTTATTTGCAGTATTTATTATAATGGTATTGACTTCAGAGTATCTAATTGATAAGAGACATTAGCACCGTGAAATGAAGTTTGTAACCAAAAAGGCAGAGTTTTAGAGGATAACTTTTCACAACCTATTAGAATTCTGTTTTTACCCTACTTGTGAAGTTGTATAATCTAAATGCTGTCTAGATAAAACTAACTCTTACTCATGTAGAATTTAGAGTTTGTGGAGTTACAAGGATTCTTCATAGTATCATTTGAAGAATTCCATCTTAACACCTAGTACTTTGTCTCACATGCATTATATGTATTCTAGACAAGTCAAAACAGCAGTTAATAATGTGAACCCTGATTAAGAGAAATTGCTCTGATTCTGACTGTAATTACATGTGCATCCAATTTTTGGACCCTTTTTCTGCAGCTATTCCTCTGTATAAATGATGCCTGGTGAAAAAAGTTATAGGTCTTCTAACGAGGGATACTGTTGTTAGCCAGGCTTATATTTTGCCAGCGTTTACTATAATACAAGTAAATGCAAGCATAAAAGGAAAGGAAGGATTTAGTGCAGCTGAATTACTCCAGCTTCTCTTGGGAGTTGAGTGTAATTGCATGCCAGCCTCCTGCACTCACTCTTTAAGTCGGGGTCATGGTTTTTACATGGTGCTTCTTTTGCTGTACTGCCGAGGTTTCTACTGTGAGTCCAGCAAAGTAAATAAACTTTAAAAAGAGTAAAGGCAAAAATGTCCACCCTGGAGACACTACGAGAAAAGCTATGAATAAATGTAAGTCCAATAGATAGTTAGGAAACTGGTGAGGACTATGCAGACATGTGGTGCAGTGTAAACAAAATATGGATTTCCAGTCTAGCATTTTATTCTCTGGAGCAGAGGCTGATCTGTTACCAGAAAGTCTTTTTATTTTCTTTTCACTCAACCCTCAAGAACAGTAAAGCAAGACAAAACTTCTTAATTTCCTGTCTATCATACACCACCCTCCTTGGAGTCCTGCCAAAACTGCTGCTCAGCCCAGCGTGTGCACTGTAGCCCTGCTGTCACCTGCAGACAATGCAGAGAGGCTTGTGTTTTTAATATAGTCTTCCTAATATCCATCACTGTATTAAAGTGTTCTTTGAATTAAGTACAGCTGTAATAAATATCAATAAGTTTGTAATTGAAACAATTATTTTAAATGTGTGGGAATTTCTGTAGAATAAATTTTACTTATTAACTTCTCTATAAATGTCTCAAGTATTCCATAGTTGACTCAGTTTTATTAGCTAGCAGTTGTCGTTGAAGAAGTCCTGGGTATGTCAAATGGACACTTGGTATGAAAACTACAGGTACTTTTAGAAAAATTTTTTTATATTTAGAATTACTCTTTGATGTTTGTCTATAGGAGTTTGTGAGAGGAGACTGCTGTTATTTAGATTAGCTTTTTCAAATGTTTTCTTTTTTTGTGTGTTTTTCTTTTTTTATTTCCACCTTTGTGTGGAACTCTAGTACACAGCTCAGATCCAAACCTGACTGCCTTGAGTGCATTTGGGGGGCAGGAGGCAGGGTTGCGAAAAACTTTGTGTGGGTACCACGAAGTCTCCTGATATCAGTCATGGTGTTTTCTTAGGATTCCCATGATGATCACTGCAGGGAGGGCCAATGTTAGCCTCATAGGATAGATGAAGTATTACTTAGTATTACTTGCCTTACAAAATAAATAGCAGGTAAGATATAAGACTTTAGGAACTCATTTGGTTCCTAATCTGAAATTTTCTAAACTAATAAGTTTAGTTTTTAACTAATCTAAATTTGGTATGATTTATATATAAAAATAACAAAATCATCACATATAACTTGTTAGTATATAACTTATGTTTGTATTTAAATGTTGCTCCTTTCTCTTTATGGAGAAATAAGTTCAGTCATAGTTAAGCAATTTTCAATAGGTAATTTGTGTTAAGATTGGATATATTATCCAGATAAACATTTAGCAATGAGATTAGTGTAAAAATACGTTGCGATGCCGTTGGACATAAAGAGCTTCAGTCACATATTAAAGGAATTGCCTTGTGTGCACGTGTGGGGTGAGTTCCTGACAGTAAGTGCTCATGAAGGCCTGGACACAGTTGTTGTCCTGCCACCTTGACATCTGCAGGACAGCTTTATTGATAAGAGGCCAGCTCTCGTCTTACAGGACCCTTTTACACAGTTCTCTTAGGTAAAATTACCACGTGTGGCTAAATCGTCATTCCTAAACATAACTGTTCTCTGAGATATATTTTTATGTTTAATTCTCATTCAAGTAAGAAATGTCAAGAGTACAACAAGGCACTGTAACAGTGAGCAGTAGCCTGCAGCTCCCATGTGCCTTCTGGTGTGGAAGGCCCTGTGTAAATCAGAAACTACTTGGGGTCTTCCTGAAAGTCTAAGAAAGCTTGGAATCTTAAATCCTGTTTGATGAGACACTTTACTAACCTAGAGTTGACTTCTTGAGACTTGGCTCTGAGGCCCTGGAGAAGCATGGCAAGGTCTGCAACCTCACTGGAAAGTCATCTTATGTTATAGATAAGGGCGACAACTAATCATTTCTTGGATGGTTGCTGTGTTTGACATATTGGCTAGGTAGTTCACATGTATTTTCTTGACCCTAATCATAACTTCACCAAGAGCGTGGCTTTATATTTACTTGATTTCAGTGAGAGAACTATAGCCATAAAAGTTTAGAGACTCTACGAACATGGTTGAGCCAATGTCCTTGTGTACTTGAGATATTTTGGATATATGCCTAGGACTGGTATAGCTGTGTCTTGAGGTAGCGCTATTCCTAATTTTTTGAGAAAGCACAAGATTGATTTCCAAAGTTGTACAGTTTACAGTCCCACCAGCAATGAGGAGGATTCCCCTTTCTCCACATTCTCTCCAGCATGTGTTGTCATTTGAGTTTTTGATCTTAGCCATTCTGATGGGAATAAGGTGAAATCTTAGGGCCATTTTGATTTGCATTTCCCTGATGACTAAGGATGTTGAGCATTTCTCTAGGTGTTTCTCTGCCATTCGATATTCTTCTGTTGAGAATTCTCAGTTTGGCTCTGTACCCCATTTTTTAATTGGATTACTTGATTTGTTGGTGTCTAATATCTTGAGTTCTCTATATTCTGGATATTAGCCCTCTGTCAGATATAGGGTTGGTGAAGATCCTTTCCCAGTCTGTAGGCTGTTTTTTGTTCTGATGACAGTGTGCTTTGCTTTGTAGAAGCTTTTCAGTTTCATGAGGACCCATTTATTGATTGTTGATCTTAGAGCCTGTGCTGGTGGCAGTCTTAAGAGAGGATTAGTGGACAGGTAACTAAGGTGAAAGAGTGAAGCTAGTCTGAGTGATTGCTTGAGTAAACACTGAGTTGAGGTATCTGGCTTCCTTAGACTACAAGAAAATTGAATTTGATATTAATATTTACTTCATCTGTCTCAGGCATTTGAGGAACTCTCTTATTCTACAAAGGGAGTAAATGCTATTGTATTAGCATTTTGTAAATAAAAACTTCATTCCATTATAGATTAAATATGAAGTTCTATATGGAGACTCTATAAACTTCTAATTATACTACACTGAGAGCCCAATATAAAGATACCCTTGAGTCCTGGAGAAATACAGAGGCCAGAAGAAGTGTTAGATCCTCTGAATCTTAAGTTCCAGGTGGTTGTGAGTCACCCTACATTGGTGCTGAGAACTTGGGCCCACTGCAAGTACAGCAAGTGTTCTTAACTGCTGAGCCGTGGGTCCATCCCCAAGAAATACAGTTTTTATTTGTTGCAGATAAATGTGTATAGATAAACATGACAGTGTGTGATCCCTTTTTTACTTAAGGGCATTATTACCTCAGTGTTATTATCTGGAGTTCTTCACAGGGCTGCTAGTATAGGTGGCTTCCTTCCAGACATGGGCTACTGCACTGCAGCTCTCAGTAAGCACCTCTTGTGTAGAAGGGATGGGTCGGGACTTAGGAATACGCCAATCAACTTAGATACTGTACATGGAGTTTGCCTTTATTGAGCATAAAACTCAAGAAAGGAGAAAGACAGTGTGTTAGAGGAACAAGTCCTAAAAGGAGATACAAAGTTTAGTACGTAAACAGGAGAGCAATTTTGGTGTGGGATGTGAGGAAAGGTGGCAAGGTCAACAGCTATAGCAACAGGGAGGGTAACATTTGACGAAAGCCTGAAAAGATGGGAAAGATTTTTTTCTTTTTAAGGGAAATATGGCAGAGCCACATGTGGCCAGAGATTAGGAAGTATAGCACTGCTAAAGATGAGGCTGAGGAAACCTGTGAGCCAAAGAGTTGATCTGCATTGTGGTAGAAGATCCTTAGCTTAGTTTCACATGAGCCCAGATAAACAGTTTGTAGATTATATGATTGGCAGGTAAGAGCTGGTACATGGAAGTCAGTTGGAGTGGCTTAGAATAGACAGTAGTGCCTCCTGAAAACGAGAAGAATTGGGAAAGAGTCTGCCATAGTATTTGCACTAGCTTGAGAAGTATTCTGCAGATGTAAAGAGAAGAAGTCAGCGGTAACGAAAGGCAGTTAGTTGAATGAAAGTCTTCAGCTATTTTGGGAAGCTAGTTGACTACCCTAGATGAGCTCTCCTTAGATGGGCTGTGATCAAGAAGTCTTTTCTTATGTCAGATATCAAGTGAGGTGCTCACTGGCCTCTGCGTCCAGTGTTTTTAGGTAGGTTATGTTGCAGTTTTTAAAGTCTTCATTTCAACAACAGTACAGGAACAAAATCTGTCTTCATTGATGGCTGTGATTAAGCAGTATACTGGTGGAAGAGATTTTCTTAGCACTTTTTCCGTTAAATTAGAAGGAAGTTTATGTGAGGTCCAAGATTTACTGTGTTGAAATTATGAAATAGGAGACAATTGTTAGAATAAGATTGTACTCTAAGAAGCACATATTAGACTACTTAAAACTTTTATGTTCTGTAGTGACTATTCTAAGAAAGATGCTGGTTATATCAGGCTGTCTTTTGAGAAGTGTATGATGAGCCCTACCTAGTTTGGTAATTCTATGACAGTTAAAATTTTGGTTTCTTGAAGTACTTTTAGTAAATTTAGTAAATTCAAACATCTCCATGGGAAGACAATATGATTGTTATTTGTTGCTTTCTTGTCTGGATAGTAGCCAGCATAAAAGCTAATTGAAGGTGGTTTAATGCTGTGAGTGAAAGTGTTGGACTGTGGGACTGGGTCAGGGTTAGGGCTTCAGACTTTGTGCAAACCTGGATGTGGGAATGGCTTTATAACTTACTGACCGATGTCAGCCATGTTGAGTAATCCTGCAAACAAGCTAACAGTTCATGGAGCTGAAAGGATGCAAGGAACAACTTCAGTAGAGACAGCCCAGGTTCTTCTTGTGGTGAGCACTCCATAATCTTGAACCATTGCTGTCATTAGAGAATAGCAATCCCTGGTTCTAACCCCCCCACCCCAAAGTCTGAATTTGCGTCTCATTTTTACTGTTAGCTTGAGAAAATTTTGAATAGCCACTGAATGTTTCAGAAATGTCTTATCCATAAATGGGCATTGATGCAAGCCTGTGTAGAGTTTTTGAGAGGGCTGAATGGATGTGTCATTTGCTATAGTCCATGCCATAGTCTTGTTTAGCAAGTGCTTTACCATCTTTCCTGCCCATAATTTTTTTTTTTTTTCTTTCTAGTCAGGCCTTGAAAAGAGGATAGACCAGGCTGTGGAGGAATGGGATGTTGAGAAGGCTGAAGAGCTGAGCAACCAGCTAGCTACTCGAGAGGTAAGTCAAACTGATTCCAATTTTCTTTTTGCCCATATATTTCTCTCTCTTTGTACTATTTATTTCGAAGTTCTTGATTTTGTGTTGACTTTAATGCTTTAAATTTATTCTGGTCTCAAACTTAGGCTAAAAACTATGTATAATTGATATTTGACCCTATTTTTACCTGGCCTACAGCAGGCTTTTTTGCTTTATTTGTTTTTGAGGTTGGTGGTGTTTTTCAGGTGTAATTTGAAGGGTGCCTTCATTATCTGCTTTGTGTCTAGCTTAGTTTATCTTCATCGGGGCAGCTGTCACACCCTGCATTCTTTTCTTAGTCCTTGCTTACAGTCTCTTACTGTGGATTCTGTACATGCTGCTCAGCCCTTTGGGGTTCCAGCTAATTCTCAACAGTCTGTAGTGTAAATTTTAAATTATACATTTAATATATTTCCAACTGCGAAGTCACAAGATGCTTCTGACTCACATTCTTGGAGTTAGGGTCCTGTTAACCTACCACTTGGACTTCATGTACTTTCCTGTTCTACTGTTCCTTTTTCTTTATAGACTAAAAACATGAGCAATCCATACCCTGGTTTTTATTTTAGTGCTTGGTTCCCTATCCTTAGCTTGTAACACTCTTGGTGTTTAGTCACATAAAAGCATCATAGCTCATTCATGCAGATTGTTGGTTCTTTCTTACTGCTCGAATAACTCACGAAGAGGCTTTTGTTTTGTTTTTTTTTTCTTTTTTCCAATCTGAAATTAGAAACTTCTATCTCAGTAGATTATTCTATGGAAGTACTGTTGCATATTTTTTTCCAGTCTGAAATTAGAAACTTCTATCTCAGTAGATTATTCTATGGAAGTACTGTTGCATATTTTTTTCTATCATCAGTTGTTTAAAGACCCACCATTTATGGTCATTGGGAGTTTTTTTGTGTGTGGATTTTTGCCCCCCCCTTTTTTTTTTGCTACATGCCTTAAAAACTCTTGTGGATTTTTATGTATGGAATAAACATATTTAAAAGAACCATTAAAGGATATTTCCAAAATCTTCTGAGATACTTAAAATTTCAAAATTTTCCTTTTTATGTCTTTAAGAATAATTGGTCACATTAAATATTTCTGTATATAATGTTTATATGCATGTGTTAGTGGCTAACAGAAAAGAAATTACAGAGCTATAGGTATTAAAGGCATTGGCTAGAAATAGCATGAATGACAATTATGTGGCTTTGAAAAAATGAAAGGTTGACATTTTAATCTGGGTGTGGTGTTTCATGCTTGTAGTCACAGTACCTGGGAAGTTGAGGCACGGAGATTACTATAACTTTAAGGCCAGCATGGGTTACAGAGTAAGACCATATTTCAAACAAAGCAAACTGACATTTTGTGAATTGTTCTATTGTGGTAAGGTACACTATAGTTTATGCTTGTAGCCATTTTGAGTATGTAAAAGAGTAACATCAGACATGCTCACACTATTGTGCAGATTCTCCCACCACTTGTGACCAGAACTCTTCATCTTGCAAAACTGAAACTCTATTCCTTAAACTGTTACTGTGCAGTTTCCTGTCCACCCTGCTTTAACAGCATGCTACTTTGCCTGTGCATTCAGCTTCTGTAGGCGCTGTATGTAAGTCTTACGTTTGTGCTTTTGTGTCTGGTGTATTTCATTTGGCATAACATTCTTAGACTCACTGTGTTGTACTATATGTCAGATTTTCTTCCATTTCAAGACTACTTGCTTCTCTGTCACATTTGGGGTATTTGTGCCATTGTTTGTGCATTTGCTTGCTGGTAGACACTGCACTCACTGTTTGACTGTTGTGAACCATGCTGCTGTAAACATGAGTATACTAGCATCTGTGTGAATTCCTGTTGGAACTTCCTTTGTGTAGATACCCAGAAAAATTTACTTAAGAAGAAAAAATGCAACCCAGGTATTTGATGTTTTTAATTTGTGAGGATGCTATGACTCAGCATAGTGATCAAAGCTTTGACACAGTTGCCTTGTAGCTGAGCTTTAATGAGATATTCTTTGTGTTTGCTATTTTCTTATAAGCTATTCAGTTCTTCCCACCGTCTAATGCTTGTTATGCTTGCATTTTGACAATTGCTCTATTTTATTTTTAAAAAGTGCTATATTTTGATTTAATGGTATAGCTCTTGTTGGATTTAGTAGTATTTCATCACTATTTTGGAAGGGAAAGATAAAGTTTATTTAATAAAATGAACTTGAAGATGTGTTAAATTGTGCCACAAGTTCAGTAGGATTTCCTGTTATCTATTGGTTATCTGTGGCTTCTTCAGTGTGAATAAGATCTGTATATGTCAACCTGTGCTTCTGTTCCTATCCTTGTAAGTCAATCTAGGAGCTCACTCAACAAACATGGTATATGTATTGGGTGGTATGGTACTTGAAACTCATCCATTGCTAGAAGTAGTGGCTTGGTTTCTTACAAGTGTAGTTAACTCCTGAGATAACAAGATTATACCAATTAGTGTACGTCATCTGCAGATTTTGATGGGGTGGCCATGGAAACGAGGGATAGTGGGGAGGAGCAGTGCTTGAGGGCTTGGACAGGACTTCAGGGGTAGATGTTTACGGGGCTCTAGGACTCAAGAGGGTAGGTATCAGGATGGGACTGGGGAAAAGTGGGGCCTCAGGAGGCTGTTGGGCTGGGAAGTACACGGGGCACCAATAGCCAGTCAGTGGCTTGCATCCTTATCAAGCAGTGGATTTAGATAGAAGCTGCTGACAGCTTCATGTAGGTTGGGAATGAAACCTTTCAGGAAGCTGGTGCTTAGCTGTATTTCTGCTGAGGAAGTATTATACCCTGTGCTACTTACTGGACAGATGTCTCCTGCATGGCTTCCAAGGTTCCAGGACTGCTTCACGTTGAATTTGGATGCTGGTCTGGGTTTGCTGGATAGTTCTAGTAAAGCCCAAGACACAACCTAAGAAAAACCAGCAGGACTATAGTGTGTGGTTGCCTGCTTACTTTTAGAACTGTTGTATGTCTGTCTTATAGTACTTTTCAGGGTTACAGGATACAAACTGGTGCTCTGCTTTTCTGTCCATCCTTCTTTTGGAGACCCAAGAGTTGTGTGATCTCTTCCAACTGTAAAGCTGCCACAGCAGACCCCTGCTTTTTGTCTTGGTGGTAGAAGAAAAGATAAGGCAGAGCACAGTTTATTAGTTCCTCTACCTGATACCAGGGAAATTTGCAGAGAAGCCTGTTTCAGTGCAGGTTCTGAGTTCCTTTTAGCAGAGTTAATTGATTTATTTGATATTAAGGAAGTTGCGCGATTTGAGGCCAGGAAGATCACTCAGTGGGTCAAGGTGCTCACTGCACAGGCTTAATCACAGGGATTCATGGAAAGGTCGGAGGGGAGAACCAACTTCATAGAGTTGTCTTCTGATCGTCACACGCAGGGAATGCCCTCACACCCACACCATATACACACACATAAGAAAAGTTAATCAAAAAAGAGTGCCAACAAGCTGGTTCAGTTTCGACCTGACTTAGATTCCTGGCACCAACATGGTGACCCAGGTATGCACATGCATACAAAAAGGAATTTAAATTATTAAAAAGAAAGTTGCAAAATTTGTAAAAGGTGTTTTAATCATATATGTTATTTAAATTTATATTTATTCCATTAATGTCCATTCTAGCAAAGGTGTTTCCTGTTGTCTAACATTGTCCTCTGTTGCAGTGTTCTTTTAATCTAGAACAGCTGCTCTGTCTTCATTTCCTTGTTTTTGAGGAGAAGCCGGTTTTGTTTTGTCTAGTATCTCCTCACGATGGCTTACAGCAGTGACCATGGGTGTTCTCAGACTCTCCAGAGGCACATACTATCTCTTTTTGCCACTTTTTGATTTTTTTTTACTCCGATGAGGGTTGTACCTTTGAGTTTCTTCTCTGTGCAATTACTGTTTTCTCCTTTGTGATGAGTAAGTACCTTCTGGAGAGGTAGTTTGAGATTATACGTGCCCCTTGTTACACTTTCATCTACTTCAGCATCTGCTGCTGGTTTTTTCTGTGTTTTTCTTTTAAGTTATTGTTGTGATTGACAAATGACTTTAGATCTTTAAAGCAATGTTTGATTTTACTTTTAAAAAAGATTTGTTTACCTGGGTGCAGTGGTACATGCCTGTAATCCCAGCACCTCTTAAGAGGTAGAGGCAGTTGGATTTCTGTGGGTTCAAGGCCAGCCTGTTCTACAGAGTGAGACCAGAACAGCCAAGGCTACACAGAGAAACCCTATCTTAAAAAAAAAGACTTATTTAAGTTTTAATTATATATGTGTTTGTTTATTTGAGCACGAACACACATGTGAGTGTAGGTGCCCAAGGAGGCCAGAAGAGGTGTCAGATCTCTTGGAGCTGGAGTTACAAGTAGTTGTAAGCTGCCTGATGTGGGTGCTAGGAACTGAATTCTAGTCCTCTGCATGAGCAGCAAGTGCTCTTAATTCTGAACCATCCTTCCAGCCACACTTGACAGTACTTTTATTACTTGGCAAACCAAGATTAAAAATTAGCTTAAGTGTGAGGTATTAGATTATAGATTGTTTTCTGAATCCATACTAATCTTATGAACCTGGGCAGTTTCCCAAGTGGTGTGCTGGGTAGGGAAGGAGTTGCCTGTACTATTCTATGCCAGCTGTGTGTTGTTAATTCTGCTCTAGCCCTGGTGAGCTGCCGACAGGTTTCAGAAAGGGATTTCTTTCAGGACGCTGGGATTGTAAGTTTGGTGTCTTCTCATCTTGCTGTGCTGACTAGACGTTTTATTGCAAGATCTTTCCTTTCCTGTCATACTCTATGACAAATGAGATTGCTTTAGACATACTGTTTTCAGCACGTGGGGAGATAACGTCTCTCTCAGTTGTCCTTTTACTTTGATACACATGTTAACCTGTGTTCTGGTAAATTCAGATTATTTACTGTGAACTTAATGAATTCTGATTAAAAGAAAAACCAGTAGTTTATAGTCTGGATAACTGAAAGGACA